ACAAATCAATTATGATCGAAAAAAACATAATCTATTTCGAAATAGTAATTATAAGCTGTTATTATTATCACATACACTCGCGCAAATACATCTTTAGGAGTGTTGCTACTACATGTGGATCTTCCCTAGAACTTTGTAAAAAATTTAAATCCAGCCCTATAGTAATAATACAACTTATTACTAATGAATAAATTTTTTAATAAAACAAACACATGTAATGTCTAATATAGCACATACCAGAATTGAAAATATTACGCATTCGTTGCACTGACGTCACACTTCCTGGTATTCTAAGTATCAAAACTATCAAGTTAGTTATGAAAATTTATTACATATTATCCAAATAAACATACCGGTAAATGCCAACTTCTTCTAAACCTATGAATGTTAAAATAAAATTTTCGTATATTAATAAATGGTTCTCCTAACAAGATAAATTATGATTAAGTTATTAAAAACGAAAAACAATACCATGAACATCCAAAAATTCTATGCATCTTAGAACTACTGCTGGTACCCAATATCTAGATGGGTCTTTGTAAATTTGTTTCATATCCTTTTCAACACGTGTCAAAGTGACGGCTGTTTTAAGTGGTGCACCAAAAATGTTTTCCCTGGTTATAAATCTTTTAGCATTAAGAAGACCATTATTCGCTGAAGGATCTAAGAATTGTAAAATCGTAAAAGTTACAAGTCGGTAAATAGTGTAAATGAGCATGTAATACTCGATTTGATCCCAGAGCACAGATCTTTAAGCATTACCACTGTTCTTTTGCCTTGAGATTAAAACACACCTTCTTTTCGTTTTTTCCATCGATCAACAACAGCATCTCTGGCCAAACTGCCAAGTTCTACACCTTTTTTACCTAATTCAACACCCATTTCCGTTACAGCAGCCGTCAAATCAGCAGTCTTCTGTGAAAGATTTATCTCTTTTAATTCACGGGCAATAGATGCTATATTGTAGAGGCGAGGAAAGGATGGAAGTGTTGGTGATTGTGAATTAGAAGTTGATTGGCTGATAGTTGCAGGATCTGTTGTTGAATTTGATGACGTTTGCGCACTTGAAACACTTCCAGAAACACGACGAAAGCGCCTTATGCTCCCTCGTACTGAATTAAAGCCATTTATAGATATTGGTTCCGGAACCGGAGTTGGCTTCGTTCGGAAAGACAACCTCCGTCGAAATGGTTTTGCTGGTGGAAAACCTTTACCATTATTTGTTTCGATTGAAGACATGAAAAGTAATGTACTAATAGCAATTACTTTTCGATTGGTTCTATATCGATAAATCTATTAAAATCCGGTCTTTGGAAATATTATATGAATTAATACAGCTATTATTCCTAGCTTTAAAAGAAAAATAGTAATTTTTGTGCGCGGTTTGAAATATTCTCAAGAGAGAAAGAACGATCTTGATTTGAACAAATATTGTTAAGCCTAGAACTTAACCGGTGCCTAGGTTGTAATTCAGGACGTCACAATCAAATTCTGCGATTACGTACTTTATCTAATTTCATGTAGCCTCTAGAATGCATCGAACAACCTGGTGTTTCTTTTTTTTTAGCCGGCAAGAACGTTATTGATGTTATTGACATACCCGAATTTCCTTTAAGCAGAACACATTATTGGTAGAACAGGTTACTTTATTTAGTATATAAGTAGATTGTATTGTAACATCTCGTGATATTCATACATATTTATACATCCCTCCCCAGTAGCAGTGGTTAGTGGTGGTTAGCTAATCTTGTATAATAAACAACAAAGTTTCGTGATTTGA